TGATCCACTTTCTTAGTGTCAGTGAGGAACCAGTGTAAGGACTTCAGAACTGGACTGATGTGATCCACTTTCTTAGTGTCAGTGAGGAACCAGTGTAAAGACTTCAGAACTGGACTGATCCACTTTCTTAGTGTCAGTGAGGAACCAGTGTAAAGACTTCAGAACTGGACTGATCCACTTTCTTAGTCTCAGTGAGGAACCAGTGTGAAGACTTCAGAACTGGACTGATCCACTTTCTTAGTGTCAGTGAGGAACCAGTGTAAAGACTTCAGAACTGGACTGATCCACTTTCTTAGTGTCAGTGAGGAACCAGTGTAAAGACTTCAGAACTGGACTGATCCACTTTCTTAGTGTCAGTGAGGAACCAGTGTAAAGACTTCAGAACTGGACTGATCCACTTTCTTAGTGTCAGTGAGGAACCAGTGTAAAGACTTCAGAACTGGACTGATCCACTTTCTTAGTCTCAGTGAGGAACCAGTGTAAAGACTTCAGAACTGGACTGATCCACTTTCTTAGTGTCAGTGAGGAACCAGTGTAAAGACTTCAGAACTGGACTGATCCACTTTCTTAGTGTCAGTGAGGAACCAGTGTAAAGACTTCAGAACTGGACTGATCCACTTCTTAGTGTCAGTGAGGAACCAGTGTAAAGACTTCAGAACTGGACTGATCCACTTTCTTAGTGTTAGTGAGGAACCAGTGTGAAGACTTCAGAACTGGACTGATCCACTTTCTTAGTGTCAGTGAGGAACCAGTGTAAAGACTTCAGAACTGGACTGATCCACTTTCTTAGTCTCAGTGAGGAACCAGTGTAAAGACTTCAGAACTGGACTGATCCACTTTCTTAGTGTCAGTGAGGAACCAGTGTAAAGACTTCAGAACTGGACTGATCCACTTTCTTAGTCTCAGTGAGGAACCAGTGTAAAGACTTCAGAACTGGACTGATCCACTTTCTTAGTGTCAGTGAGGAACCAGTGTAAAGACTTCAGAACTGGACTGATCCACTTTCTTAGTGTGAGTGAGGAACCAGTGTAAAGACTTCAGAACTGGACTGATCCACTTTCTTAGTCTCAGTGAGGAACCAGTGTAAAGACTTCAGAACTGGATTGATCCACTTTCTTAGTGTCAGTGAGGAACCAGTGTAAAGACTTCAGAACTGGATTGATCCACTTTCTTAGTCTCAGTGAGGAACCAGTGTAAAGACCTCAGAACTGGACTGATCCACTTTCTTAGTGTCAGTGAGGAACCAGTGTAAAGACTTCAGAACAGGACTGATCCACTTTCTTAGTGTCAGTGAGGAACCAGTGTAAAGACTTCAGAACTGGACTGATCCACTTTCTTAGTGTCAGTGAGGAACCAGTGTAAGGACTTCAGAACTGGACTGATCCACTTTCTTAGTGTGAGTGAGGAACCAGTGTAAAGACTTCAGAACTGGATTGATCCACTTTCTTAGTGTGAGTGAGGAACCAGTGTAAAGACTTCAGAACTGGACTGATCCACTTTCTTAGTGTGAGTGAGGAACCAGTGTAAAGACTTCAGAACTGGATTGATCCACTTTCTTAGTGTCAGTGAGGAACCAGTGTAAAGACTTCAGAACTGGACTGATCCACTTTCTTAGTGTCAGTGAGGAACCAGTGTAAAGACTTCAGAACTGGACTGATCCTCTTTCTTAGTGTCAGTGAGGAACCAGTGTAAAGACTTCAGAACAGGATTGATCCACTTTCTTAGTGTCAGTGAGGAACCAGTGTAAAGACTTCAGAACAGGATTGATCCACTTTCTTAGTCTCAGTGAGGAACCAGTGTAAAGACTTCAGAACTGGACTGATCCACTTTCTTAGTGTCAGTGAGGAACCAGTGTAAAGACTTCAGAACAGGACTGATCCACTTTCTTAGTGTCAGTGAGGAACCAGTGTAAAGACTTCAGAACAGGATTGATCCACTTTCTTAGTGTCAGTGAGGAACCAGTGTAAAGACTTCAGAACTGGAGTGATCCACTTTCTTAGTGTCATTGAGGAACCAGTGTAAAGACTTCAGAACAGGATTGATCCACTTTCTTAGTGTCAGTGAGGAACCAGTATAAAGACTTCAGAACAGGACTGATCCACTTTCTTAGTGTCAGTGAGGAACCAGTGTAAAGACTTCAGAACAGGATTGATCCACTTTCTTAGTGTCAGTGAGGAACCAGTGTAAAGACTTCAGAACAGGATTGATCCACTTTCTTAGTGTCAGTGAGGAACCAGTGTAAAGACTTCAGAACTGGAGTGATCCACTTTCTTAGTGTCATTGAGGAACCAGTGTAAAGACTTCAGAACAGGATTGATCCACTTTCTTAGTGTCAGTGAGGAACCAGTGTAAAGACTTCAGAACAGGATTGATCCACTTTCTTAGTGTCAGTGAGGAACCAGTATAAAGACTTCAGAACTGGACTGATCCTCTTTCTTAGTGTCAGTGAGGAACCAGTGTAAAGACTTCAGAACAGGATTGATCCACTTTCTTAGTGTCAGAGAGGACTCGAGCAGCAGCGTTCTGAATCAGCTGCAGCTTTCTAATAGATGTGTTAGTGAGACCTGTGAAGACACCATTACAGTAGTCCAGTCTACTGAAGATAAAAGAATGGACAAGCTTTTCTAAATCCTGTTGTGACATTAGTCTTTTAATCCTAGATATGTTTTTCAGGTGATAGTATGCTGACTTAATAACTGTTGTAATGTGACTGTTGAAACTCAGGTCAGAGTCCACGACTACACCTAGATTTCTGGCTTCATGAGTTACTTTGTAGTCTGCCGACTGAAGCTCTGCGATGACTTTTGATCGGTCTTTCTTTGCTCCAAAAACAATAACTTCAGTTTTCTGTTTGTTCAATTGGAGAAAGTTCCTACTCATCCAGTCATTGATGTGTTCAATGCACTTGCTCGGTATTGTAAATCGGAGCATAGTCTCCTGGTGTAATCTTTAAATAAATCTGGGTGTCTTCTGCATAGATATGATAACTCAGGTCGCTGTTCTTCATAGTTTGAGCCAGTGGTAGCATATCAATATTAAAAAGCAAAAGGTCCTAAGATGGAGCCTTGAGGAACCCCGCATGTCATATTTGTCAATGCTGAAGTGAAGTTGCCAATAGCGACAACGTTTCTTCTGTCCTTTAAGTAGGAACCAAACCAATTTAGAACTGTTGCCGAAAGTAAGAGCCAGCATGCGGGACCGGGATTCTGGGATTTGTAGTCTTTCTAGTTGCGTATTTTTCAGTCTTATATTTCAACAGTTTTACGACAAACTGTGACTTTTTTGACATGGAAATGATTTTTTAAGATTGACAAACATCATATGTGTAATTCATGGCACAATTCAAACGGGATCGAAAGATACGTTTTCTCTCTCCATTGACTTCAATACATTATTTTTCCGAAATAAGGTCCCATGGGTCGGAAGTAGATGGGCGTGACTTCGCCTCTCTATTGTGTTTGTTTCCCGGGGAAACACTCACAAGAAACACCGGCTGTTGTGACGCCTGCTGGGACGTTGAGTTACTGCTTGTAATTATGCCTACAAGCTTCAAAGTTGTATTTATCATCTGAATTTGGCGAAACAAGTTTAATATTCTAAAAACCAAGACTTTGTTTATCTGAAATCAGATGAAAACAAACTGTCACGGACCCTGCCGTGTTATCTATGATTACTATACGCCTTACATTCATAATGTGAGCGGGAGAGAGGGGGAGCGGCGCTGAGTAACAGCAGAGTGCGGGTTGACGGGTGTCTGTGTGGACATTCCCCTTATTGTGGAATAAGGTGAATGCAGAGACAGGCTACAGGTGTCTGTGTGGACACTCCCCTTATTGTGGAATAAGGTGAATGCAGAGACAGACTACAAGTGTCTGTGTGGACACTCCCCTTATTGTGGAATAAGGTGAATGCAGAGACAGACTACAAGTGTCTTAGGTTCAAGTTAGACGACTAATGTCTGGGTTAGTGTTCATGACTTCATGTTTATGTCCTCTTAATGGTTCATCTCAATGCACACACATTGTCCGTGCTTTCCAATAGTTTAAAAGTTTTATTCCACTGTTAAATAACCTGTTCAATACAAACATGCCACTTGTCAAAATTAAATAACATTTCTGTGAACTGATATTTGTTTAGTGAGCTTCTTAGAGGATGTTCCCTGAAAGATTGTAAAATGTCAATGAAGAAGTCAGACTTAGTATATTTGTTAATAATTACATACAACAGATGGAATTTGTGTGTGTGTGTGTTCCAAGTGAATCTGCGGCCCCCTGGTGGCCAGTACATACATGATGTGGCCCCCACCACCATCCAAGTTGCCCCTCCCTGCTCTAGATTATGCTTTTTTAAGAGTGGTTTAATTACTGCAGTTTTCAGGGCCTGTGGCAAGCTATTAACCTAGGTATAAGGGAGTAGAGAGGGGGGTATAACTAGACAAAAGTTAATCAAGTACAAACCACAGACTGCCTGTGTCATGGCGAATACAGTCGCTGCTTTATTTATGTCTGTATAGGCCGTTGTTGTGAGTGTGGACGGTCGGAGCATATACTGAGTTAGCTTAGCCGATCTCCATTTAGAAAACACGCATTTTAAAAGGTGTTTCTCCTGCCGTCTGTCTGCAGACTTGACAAAGCATTAATTCATGGTTTTTACTAACCGGTATCAGTATGTTGTTACTTCGGCATCATTTTGAAACGTGTATTACAATTAAATCACGGTCAAATATGTTCATTTTGTTGTAGTTGTAGCCCCCTTGCCAGCGATGCTCTCTCTAGTTTAGCATACTCAGCCCGACTCAGCCTCGTTGTCTCTGGCCCTAGAACCACGATTTTATGGGGCCAGAAAAACTGTGAATTAGGACCCACTAGCCGGTACTAGGCCAAGTGGAAACGCAACCAAAGACGGGCCGCTGACGTCACAGCCCTCTTAAACCGTGCTCCGCGCTGTAGTGGAAACGCGCCATTAGGGAGTATATAAGGGAGTAGGATGCCAGTACTTACGCAGCAGCTTCCTCTGCTTCTTCTGAAGGCATGATTTGACGTAGCGCTCCAGTTCTCGAAGGGTGGAGGGTTTGAGGGTTTCGAAGTCGATCTCGATCTCGTCGGGGTTGGAGTCCCTCAGCGACGGCTCTCTGGATTGGATGATGTGGACGACGCGGCCCAGCTTCTCCCCCGGCAGCCGGTTGATATCCAGACTCAGCTGGCGCTTCTCGTCGTACGACATCGGCAGGGAGGACTCCTCTCCGTCGTCTCCGTTAGCGGACCCACCGCCTGATGCCTTACTGCCTTTCTTCGGTTGCCTGCAAACACAAACACTCGAGTTTAAATACAAATCCAGGAAATGATTTTCACGTGTTGATTCTTTTTGATTGCGAGACACTTGAGACCCTTTTCACGCTGCTATGGACAGTCTTGCCCTGATGCACATTCCCTAATATATTGAAGTGACTGTTATTTTGTATATTGATTGTTGAGCTTTTATTTATGTCTTAATGTGTGCATATGTATACATCAGGGTTCATACACTTTTTCACCAATGATTTTCAATAACCTTTCCATGACTTCTCAATGACCTTTACCTCATTTTCCATGACCAAAAAATATTACCACTGAAAATGCTTTATTTTAACATGGAAAAGGAAAATAAGGTCTGCATCTGAAACATGTTGGGCCTATCTGAAACAAATCAAATAGTAGGCTGACTAGCTTCTACACACTAAAGCAACTGTAGTCAGGGGTGCAAACTCATCAGGTATGAAAAAGGTGACAAGGATCCGATCCCCCCCCCCCCCCCCCCGACCCCATAACAGGAACATAGGAACAACAGGATGTCAGCAGTCAGAACAACTGAAGCAGTTAATAATAACAGAAACACCAAAGAGTCACATCTAATAGAAATATATAAAGCATTTATTTTAATTGTGTAGCAGTCAGTTTATAATGTTGGCAGCTCTGTTGAGCATTTTGAAAATGTATTTTCATGCCTTTGTGCAAGGCTTAGTCTTTCTGTCTGTATAGCCACTGGTGTAAAGTAACTAAGTTCATAAACTCAAGTACTATACTTGGGTACAATTTTGAGTTACTTGTACTTTATGCAAGTATTTCAATGTTTTGCTACTGTGTTCTTCTACTCCTCTACAGTTCAGAGGTAAATGGTGTACTTCTCCTCCACTACATGTATTTAATCCCTTTAGTTACCTCACAGATGTGGATGAATGATGTGAAATATAATCAAGTGTTAAATCAGACTTTAGTTCCACATGGAGTAAATCCACAAGCTACCCTGCAGTATACAAAGTCATTCAAACTAGCTGCACCTTTACCAGCTTTGAGAACACTTTCATGATCAATCATTATAAAACATATCATATATATTATTCTGAAATGGACCAATCTGCACAATGACTACTTTTACTGTCGCTACTTTCACTATATTTTGATGAGAATACTTTTCTACTTTGACTTAAGGAACATTTTGAATGCAGGACTTTTACTGTAACAGAGTATTCCTACACTCTGGTACTTCTACTTTTACTCAAGTACAAGATCTGAGTACTTCTACTTTTACTCAAGTACAAGATCCGAGTACTTCTACTTTTACTCAAGAACAAGATCCGAGTACTTCTACTTTTACTCAAGTACAAGATCTGAGTACTTCTACTTTTACTCAAGTACAAGATCTGAGTACTTCTACTTGTACTCAAGTACTTCTACTTGTACTCAAGTACAAGACCTGAGTACTTCTACTTGTACTCAGGTACAAGATCTGAGTACTTCTACTTTTACTAAAGTACAAGATCTGAGTACTTCTACTTTTACTAAAGTACAAGATCTGAGTACTTCTACTTTTACTAAAGTACAAGATCTGAGTACTTCTACTTTTACTCAAGTACAAGATCTGAGTACTTCTACTTTTACTCAAGTACAAGACCTGAGTACTTCTACTTTTACTCAAGTACAAGATCTGAGTACTTCTACTTTTAATCAAGTACAAGATCTGAGTACTTCTACTTTTACTCAAGTACTAGATCCGAGTACTTCTACTTTTACTCAAGTACAAGATCTGAGTACTTCTACTTTTACTCAAGTACTAGATCTGAGTACTTCTACTTTTACTCAAGTACAAGATCTGAGTACTTCTACTTTTACTCAAGTACAAGATCTGAGTACTTCTACTTTTACTCAAGTACAAGATCTGAGTACTTCTACTTTTACTCAAGTACTAGATCTGAGTACTTCTACTTTTACTCAAGTACTAGATCTGAGTACTTCTACTTTTACTCAAGTACAAGATCTGAGTACTTCTACTTTTACTCAAGTACTAGATCTGAGTACTTCTACTTTTACTCAAGTACAAGATCTGAGTACTTCTACTTTTACTCAAGTACAAGATCTGAGTACTTCTACTTTTACTCAAGTAGAAGATCTGAGTACTTCTACTTTTACTCAAGTACTAGATCTGAGTACTTCTACTTTTACTCAAGTACTAGATCTGAGTACTTCTACTTTTACTCAAGTACTAGATCTGAGTACTTCTACTTTTACTCAAGTACTAGATCTGAGTACTTCTACTTTTACTCAAGTACAAGATCTGAGTACTTCTACTTTTACTCAAGTACTAGATCTGAGTACTTCTACTTTACTCAAGTACAAGATCTGAGTACTTCTACTTTTACTCAAGTACAAGATCTGAGTACTTCTACTTTTACTCGAGTACAAGATCTGAGTACTTCTACTTTTACTCGAGTACTAGATCTGAGTACTTCTACTTTTACTCAAGTACTAGATCTGAGTACTTCTACTTTTACTCGAGTACTAGATCTGAGTACTTCTACTTTACTCAAGTACTAGATCTGAGTACTTCTACTTTTACTCAAGTACAAGATCTGAGTACTTCTACTTTTACTCAAGTACTAGATCTGAGTACTTCTACTTTTACTCAAGTACAAGATCTGAGTACTTCTACTTTTACTCAAGTACAGGATCTGAGTACTTCTACTTTTACTCAAGTACAAGATCTGAGTACTTCTACTTTTACTCAAGTACAGGATCTGAGTACTTCTACTTTTACTCAAGTACAAGATCTGAGTACTTCTACTTTTACTCAAGTACAATATCTGAGTACTTCTACTTTTACTCAAGTACAATATCTATACTTATACCACCTGTTTATAGCCTACAAAAAACTATTAGAAAACGAAGGCTAAAGCTAACGTTAGCAGATAGTGACAATGTATGCTAGCTAGCTAGCTCAACGATTCCTTAAATAATATTGCGACAGAAAAACGTTTCAGTGCACGCTCTGCCGCTCTGCTCTGAACGGCCCGTTCTAACAGCTGTTCACCAGCGGTCCAGTCTGTGCCAGTGACTCCGCACAGTTACTGCTAACGAACGCAGCGTAGATAAAGTAGCTGACCCCGGAGCAGCAGAGTTCAGCCGGCAGGCAGGAAGACTCGAGCACACAGCTCGCGCTTCATATATTAAAAAATAACACCATGCGCATCATGATGGCATAACATAACAGCTCGCGACCGTAGATTATTTCGGCGATTAGATCAAATGTTAAATATATTTGACGCAACTTTAGTTACATTTCCATGACTTTTCCAAAACTTTGGGAAAAATATTGTTTTCCATAATTTTTCCAGGGCCTGGAATTTGCATTTTGAATTTCCATGACTTTTCCAGGTTTTCAATGACCGTACGAACCCTGATACATTTGTCTGTTGATTGTGTATTTATAGAAGCCAGTTGAGGACATGTCACCAGGTGCATTGGAATAGGCAGTTACAGGGAGTAGTGAACCTTTATCAGGGAACACACACACTGAAAGGCAGAAACCTACCTCGTGGCGGTCACCGTGCTGTTGGCTTTCCTGGCAGGAGCTTTCTTCTGATTGGCTGGTTTTGGCTGCTGAGCGGCAGCCTTGGGCTTCTTCTCTTCTTCCAACTTGCCCTTGTTCCCTTTGTCTTTTTCTTTCTTCTTGTCCTTGTCTTTCTTCTCTTTCTTCTTCTTTGGCTTGCTGACTGGAGCCTGGGATAACACCGCCAGCTGCTCATGCACCGCCTTCAACTGGTGGGATAGACTGATTATCAATACCTTCAACCTCCCGGCTACACTTAGAAACGCCTTTAGCTGGAGAACTATCTACCAATGGATCTAATCACACATTACTATGACCAGAATTTACATCAAAAACAACTATTCCATATAAATTAAATCAACAGAATTTCATAAATGTACAATGATATTAAAAAAGAAGAAAACCAGGATGTTCTTGACCTGTGATTGGTCGGCAGCACCAACCTGCTCCTGTAGCTCAGCCAATCGCGTGGCTCGCTCCTCCTCTGAGTCGGACGATTCGTCGGAGGAGGAGTTGTTGCTGCTGTCAGAAGAGGCGGTGCTTTTACTGACCAATGGGGTCGTAGAGGGGACCGATGCGTCCAGGCCCTCATCTGGGATCTTAGCGAAGCGCATCTCGAACACGTCCTGAAGAGGAAGAGATAATGGTGACTACAAAGAGATAATGGTGACTACAGAAGAGATAATGGTGACTACAGAGAGATAATGGTGACTACAAAGAGATAATGGTGACTACAGAAGAGATAATGGTGACTACAGAGAGATAATGGTGACTACAAAGAGATAATGGTGACTACAGAGAGATAATGGTGACTACAGAAGAGATAATGGTGACTACAGAAGAGATAATGGTGACTACAGAAGAGATAATGGTGACTACAGAGAGATAATGGTGACTACAGAAGAGATAATGGTGACTACAGAAGAGATAATGGTGACTACAGAGAGATAATGGTGACTACAGAAGAGATAATGGTGACTACAGAAGAGATAATGGTGACTACAGAAGAGATAATGGTGACTACAGAGAGATAATGGTGACTACAAAGAGATAATGGTGACTACAGAAGAGATAATGGTGGTACTACTAGAGAGATAATGGTGGAACTACAGAGAGATAATGGTGACTACAGAGAGATAATGGTGACTACAGAAGAGATAATGGTGACTACAGAGAGATAATGGTGACTACAAAGAGATAATGGTGACTACAGAGAGATAATGGTGACTACAAAGAGATAATGGTGACTACAGAAGAGATAATGGTTGATACAAGAGAGATAATGGTGACTACAGAGAGATAATGGTGACTACAAAGAGATAATGGTGACTACAGAGAGATAATGGTGACTACAAAGAGATAATGGTGACTACAGAAGAGATAATGGTGACTACAGAGAGATAATGGTGACTACAGAGAGATAATGGTGACTACAAAGAGATAATGGTGACTACAGAAGAGATAATGGTGACTACAGAGAGATAATGGTGACTACAGAAGAGATAATGGTGACTACAGAGAGATAATGGTGACTACAGAGAGATAATGGTGACTACAGAGAGATAATGGTGACTACAGAAGAGATAATGGTGACTACAGAGAGATAATGGTGACTACAGAGAGATAATGGTGACTACAGAGAGATAATGGTGACTACAGAGAGATAATGGTGACTACAGAAGAGATAATGGTGACTACAGAGAGATAATGGTGACTACAGAAGAGATAATGGTGACTACAGAAGAGATAATGGTGACTACAGAGAGATAATGGTGACTACTGAGAGATAATGGTGACTACAGAAGAGATAATGGTGAGAGATAATGGTGACTACAAAGAGATAATGGTGACTACTGAAGAGATAATGGTGACTACAGAGATATAATGGTGACTAGAGAGATAATGGTGACTACAGAGAGATAATGGTGACTACAGAGAGATAATGGTGACTACAGAGAGATACTGGTGACTACAGAAGAGATAATGGTGAGAGATAATGGTGACTACAAAGAGATAATGGTGACTACTGAAGAGATAATGGTGACTACAGAGAGATAATGGTGACTACAGAGAGATAATGGTGACTACTGAGAGATAATGGTGACTACAGAGAGATAATGGTGACTACTGAGAGATAATGGTGACTACAGAGAGATAATGGTGACTACAGAGAGATAATGGTGACTACAGAGAGATAATGGTGACTACTGAAGAGATAATGGTGACTACAGAGAGATAATGGTGACTACAGAGAGATAATGGTGACTACTGAGAGATAATGGTGACTACAGAGAGATAATGGTGACTACAGAGAGATAATGGTGACTACAGAGAGATAATGGTGACTACTGAAGAGATAATGGTGACTACTGAGAGATAATGGTGACTACTGAAGAGATAATGGTGACTACAGAGAGATAATGGTGACTACTGAAGAGATAATGGTGAGAGATAATGGTGACTACTGAAGATAATGGTGACTACAGAGAGATAATGGTGACTACAGAAGAGATAATGGTGACTACTGAGAGATAATGGTGACTACTGAGAGATAATGGTGACTACAGAGAGATAATGGTGACTACTGAGAGATAATGGTGACTACTGAGAGATAATGGTGACTACAGAGAGATAATGGTGACTACTGAAGAGATAATGGTGACTACAGAGAGATAATGGTGACTACAGAGAGATAATGGTGACTACAGAGAGATAATGGTGACTACAGAAGAGATAATGGTGACTACAGAGAGATAATGGTGACTACTGAGAGATAATGGTGACTACAGAGAGATAATGGTGAGAGATAATGGTGACTACTGAAGATAATGGTGACTACAGAGAGATAATGGTGACTACAGAAGAGATAATGGTGACTACTGAGAGATAATGGTGACTACTGAGAGATAATGGTGACTACAGAGAGATAATGGTGACTACTGAGAGATAATGGTGACTACTGAGAGATAATGGTGACTACAGAGAGATAATGGTGACTACTGAAGAGATAATGGTGACTACAGAGAGATAATGGTGACTACAGAGAGATAATGGTGACTACAGAGAGATAATGGTGACTACAGAGAGATAATGGTGACTACTGAAGAGATAATGGTGACTACAGAGAGATAATGGTGACTACAGAGAGATAATGGTGACTACTGAAGAGATAATGGTGACTACTGAGAGATAATGGTGACTACAGAGAGATAATGGTGACTACTGAGAGAGATAATGGTGACTACTGAGAGAGATAATGGTGACTACTGAAGAGATAATGGTGACTACAGAGAGATAATGGTGACTGAGAGATAATGGTGACTACTGAGAGATAATGGTGACTACAGAGAGATAATGGTGACTACTGAAGAGATAATGGTGACTACAGAGAGATAATGGTGACTACAGAGAGATAATGGTGAGAGATAATGGTGACTACAGAGAGATAATGGTGACTACAGAGAGATAATGGTGACTACTGAAGAGATAATGGTGACTACTGAGAGATAATGGTGACTACTGAAGAGATAATGGTGACTACAGAGAGATAATGGTGACTACTGAGAGATAATGGTGACTACAGAGAGATAATGGTGACTACAGAGAGATAATGGTGACTACAGAGAGATAATGGTGACTACAGAGAGATAATGGTGACTACTGAGAGATAATGGTGAGAGATAATGGTGACTACAGAGAGATAATGGTGAGAGATAATGGTGACTACAGAGAGATAATGGTGAGAGATAATGGTGACTACTGAAGATAATGGTGACTACAGAGAGATAATGGTGACTACAGAAGAGATAATGGTGACTACTGAGAGATAATGGTGACTACTGAGAGATAATGGTGACTACAGAGAGATAATGGTGACTACTGAGAGATAATGGTGACTACTGAGAGATAATGGTGACTACAGAGAGATAATGGTGACTACTGAAGAGATAATGGTGACTACAGAGAGATAATGGTGACTACAGAGAGATAATGGTGACTACAGAGAGATAATGGTGAGAGATAATGGTGACTACAGAGAGATAATGGTGACTACAGAGAGATAATGGTGACTACAGAAGAGATAATGGTGACTACAGAGACCCCAGAAGAGATAATGGTGACTACAGAGAGATAATGGTGACTACAGAGAGATAATGGTGACTACAGAGAGATAATGGTGACTACAGAAGAGATAATGGTGACTACAGAGAGATAATGGTGACTACAGAGAGATAATGGTGACTACAGAGAGATAATGGTGACTACAGAAGAGATAATGGTGACTACAGAGAGATAATGGTGACTACAGAGAGATAATGGTGACTACAGAGACCCCAGAAGAGATAATGGTGACTACAGAGAGATAATGGTGACTACAGAGAGATAATGGTGACTACAGAGAGATAATGGTGACTACAGAGTGGTGACTACAGAGAGATAATGGTGACTACAGAGAGATAATGGTGACTACAGAAGAGATAATGGTGACTACAGAGAGATAATGGTGACTACAGAAGAGATAATGGTGACTACAGAGAGATAATGGTGACTACAGAGACCCCAGAAGAGATAATGGTGACTACAGAGAGATAATGGTGACTACAGAGAGATAATGGTGACTACAGAGAGATAATGGTGACTACAGAGAGATAATGGTGACTACAGAGAGATAATGGTGACTACAGAGTGGTGACTACAGAGAGATAATGGTGACTACAGAGAGATAATGGTGACTACAGAAGAGATAATGGTGACTACAGAGAGATAATGGTGACTACAGAAGAGATAATGGTGACTACAGAGAGATAATGGTGACTACAGAGAGATAATGGTGACTACAGAGAGATAATGGTGACTACAGAGACCCCTGAATGGGGTGTTGAGAGTTCTGGAGGGTTTACACACCTGTAGCTTACGGGCCATGGCCACCACCTCGTGGTCCGGAGGGTTGTACTTGTAACAGTTGGAGAACATTAACCTGACGTCCGTTGCAAAACTTTGAGGATCACTGTACTCTCCTTTATCCATCTTTTTCTGTTGGGGAGACAAAATGCAGAGATGAAGAAGCTGTATGAACTCTGAGTTCCCCATGCGAGGACAATATGCAGACACAAAACACAGAGATGGTGCAACTGTGGACTGCTCAAAGTTCAAGGCTTTTATTGGTCATACGGCTGATCCTTAGTTCACCACCATCTTTAACCTGGACACTCATAAATGGCTGTGTGTCGCAGTGACTAATGGGAATGTAGGTGTGGTATTGAATGAGAGGGATTAGTCCTAAACCCTGGCATGTTTCTGCAATAATCAAAAAGTGTGCTTGGTGTGGTATTGAATGAGAGCTACAATAGAGTGGTGTAGGAATTAGTCCTAAACCCTGACATTATTATTATATACTTAAAAGTAATATTATATTCTATTTCATTTTATTAATGGCACTATTATCTGTTGTATTGTGTTGCACTGTTGGAGGAGCCTGTGACCCCAGAATGTCCTTGTCATAACTACACTGTAGCTATGTACACATGACAATAAAAGCGTTGAATCCTTGAAAAGAAATGTGTGTTTACCCGCGCGCTGCTGAGGTCCATGGGGTGTTTGATGATGTCGTGGTAGTCGTGCAGCTCCAGCGCCTCTGCGTCCACCGGCTTGTAGAAGGGCCAGGCGTAGGCGGCGTGTTTCTTGGAGAGCATTTCCTTCAGGATGGCGTCGCAGTGTTTCATTTGCTCGCCCAGCTTCCCGCCCTTACTCCTGGCGGCCACCCCCCCTCCGGCGGCCCCCCCCCTCGCCCACCGCCACCTCCTCCACCGTCTCCCGCCGGGTCTTAGCGGGCCGGGCGGCCGCCTCACGCCTCGACAGGCCCAGTTTGGGAGGCTTGGTGTCCTGAGCGGACGGAGAGTCGGCTCGACCTGCAGAGATGGCTGACGTGGTCGGGGTGGTGGTGTCGGCTTTCCTCTTCACACCTTTCTTCTGTTGAAGACACAGACAGGTGTGAGAGACAGGTGTGAGGGACAGACGGAGACAGACAGGTGTGAGAAACAGACGGGGAGGGAGAGACAGGTGTGAGAGACAGACAGAGACAGACAGATGTGAGGGACAGAAGGGGAGGGAGAGACAGACAGATGTGAGAGACAGACGGGGAGGGAGAGACAGACAGGTGTGAGAGACAGACGGGGAGGGAGAGACAGGTGTGAGAGACAGACAGAGACAGACAGATGTGAGGGACAGAAGTGGAGGGAGAGACAGACAGATGTGAGAGACAGACGGGGAGGGAGAGACAGACAGGTGTGAGAGACAGACGGGGAGGGAGAGACAGACAGGTGTGAGAGACAGAAGGGGAGGGAGAGACAGACAGGTGTGAGAGACAGACAGGTGTGAGACAGGTGTGAGGGACAGACGGAGACAGACAGGTGTGAGAAACAGACGGGGAGGGAGAGACAGGTGTGAGAGACAGAAGGGGAGGGAGAGACAGACAGGTGTGAGAGACAGACAGGTGTGAGACAGGTGTGAGGGACAGACGGAGACAGACAGATGTGAGAGACAGACGGGGACGGAGAGACAGACAGGTGTGAGAGACAGACGGAGAGGGAGAGACAGGTGTGAGAGACGGAGAGGGAGAGACAGGTGTGAGAGACAGACAGGGACCGAAGGGGAGGGAGAGACAGGTGTGAGAGACAGACAGAGACAGAAGGGGAGGGAGAGACAGACAGATGTGAGAGACAGACGGGGAGGGAGAGACAGGTGTGAGAGACAGACAGATGTGAGAAACAGACGGAGAGGGAGAGACAGGTGTGAGAAACAGACAGGGACAGAAGGGGAGGGAGAGACAGGTGTGAGAGACAGACGGGGAGGGAGAGACAGGTGTGAGAAACAGACGGGGAGGGAGAGACAGGTGTGAGAGACAGACAGAGACAGAAGGGGAGGGAGAGACAGACAGATGTGAGAGACAGACGGGGAGGGAGAGACAGGTGTGAGAAACAGACGGGGAGGGAGAGACAGGTGTGAGAGACAGACAGAGACAGACAGGTGTGAGAGACAGACGGGGAGGGAGAGACAGGTGTGAGGGACAGACAGATGTGAGGGACAGAAGGGGAGGGAGAGACAGACAGATGTGAGAGACAGACGGGGAAGGAGAGACAGACAGATGTGAGAGACAGACAGGTGTGAGAGACAGACGGGGAGGGAGAGACAGACAGATGTGAGAGACAGACGGGGAGGGAGAGACAGACGGGGAGGGAGAGACAGACAGATGTGAGAGACAGACGGGGAGGGAGAGACAGACGGGGAGGGAGAGACAGACAGATGTGAGAGACAGACAGGTGTGAGAGACAGATGTGAGAGACAGACAGATGTGAGAGACAGACAGGTGTGAGAGACAGACGGGGAGGGAGAGACAGACAGATGTGAGAGACAGACGGGGAGGGAGAGACAGACGGGGAGGGAGAGACAGACAGATGTGAGAGACAGACGACAGACAGGTGTGAGAGACAGATGTGAGAGACAGACAGGTGTGAGAGAGATAGACAGGTGTAGAACCATTTCAATATATAAAGATTGAGACGGACAGGTAGCAAGACGGCCATCGAAACAGGTAGAGAGAGACAGGTATACAGGTAGAGAGAGACAGGTATACAGGTAGAGAGAGACAGGTAGAGAGAGACAGGTATACAGGTAGAGAGAGACAGGTATACAGGTAGAGAGAGACAGGTAGAGAGAGACAGGTATACAGGTAGAGAGAGACAGGTATACAGGTAGAGAGATACAGGTAGAGAGAGACAGGTATATCTGGGGTCATGTGATGCTGTTACCTTGACGACCGGCTGTGCAGACGGCATCATGGTTGCCGGGGGCTGCGGGGCGGAGACAGGGGGCGTGGTCTGGACAGGTGTGGGCGTGGCTGAGATGACAGGTGTCAAAGAGGGGGAGGGAGACGGGTATGAGGGGGGAGGGGAGGCCGAGGACTCCGCCTGCTGACTCACTGAGAGAGAGAGAGAGAGACAGGAAGTACTGTTAGTAATCCTCTTCAACATTTAAATACAACATTTCTGCAGTGCATTGTGTTTCATTAACACTCCGTACTGCACTGTGTTTATGTACTGCGTTTCATTAACGTCGCGTTCCCTTAACACCGCGCCGCGTTCCCTTAACACCGCGTTCCATTAACACCGCACCGCGTTCCATTATGACTGCACCGCGTTCCATTATGACTGCACCACGTTCCATTAACACCGCACCGCGTTCCATTAACACCGCGTTCCATTAACACTGCGCCGCATTCCATTAACACTGCGCCGCGTTCCATTAACACTGCGCCGCGTTCCATTAACACCGCATTCCATTAACACTGCACCACGTTCCATTATGACTGCACCGCGTTCCATTAACACCGCACCGCGTTCCATTAACACCGCGTTCCATTAACACTGCGCCGCATTCCATTAACACTACACCGCGTTCCATTAACACCGCACCACGTTCCATTAACACTGCGTTCCATTAACAATGCGTTACATTAGCACCGCGTTCCATTAACACCGCACCGCGTTCCCTTAACACCGCGTTCCCTTAACACTGCGCCGCGTTCCATTAACACCGCATTCCATTAACACTGCACCACGTTCCATTATGACTGCACCGCGTTCCATTAACACCGCACCGCGTTCCATTATGACTGCACCACGTTCCATTAACACCGCACCGCGTTCCATTATGACTGCACCGCGTTCCATTATGACTGCACCGCGTTCCATTATGACTGCACCGCGTTCCATTAACACCGCACCGCGTTCCATTATGACTGCACCGCGTTCCATTAACACCGCACCGCGTTCCATTATGACTGCACCGCGTTCCATTAACACCGCACAGCGTTCCATTATGACTGCACCACGTTCCATTAACACCGCACCGCGTTCCATTAACACCGCACCGCATTCCATTATGACTGCACCACGTTCCATTAACACCACGTTCCCTTAACACTGCGCCGCATTCCATTAACACCGCGTTCCATTAACACCGCACCGCGTTCCATTATGACTGCACCGCGTTCCATTAACACCGCATTCCATTAACACTGCACCACGTTCCATTAACACCGCACCGCGTTCCATTAACACCGCACCGCGTTCCATTATGACTGCACCGCGTTCCATTAACACCGCACCGCGTTCCATTATGACTGCACCGCGTTCCATTATGACTGCACCGCGTTCCATTAACACCGCACCGCGTTCCATTATGACTGCACCGCGTTCCATTAACACCGCACCACGTTCCATTATGACTGCACCACGTTCCATTAACACCGCACCACGTTCCATTAACACCGCACCGCGTTCCATTAACACTGCATTCCATTAACAACGCACCACGTTCCATTAACACCACGTTCCATTAACACTGCACGCGTTCCATTAACACGGCGTCCCATTAACACGGCGTCCCATTAACACTGCACGTGTTCCATTAACACTGCACGCGTTCCATTAACACCACGTTCCATTAACACGGCGTCCCATTAACACTGCACGTGTTCCATTAACACTGCACGTGTTCCATTAACACTGCACGCGTTCCATTAACACCACGTTCCATTAACACGGCGTCCCATTAACACTGCACGTGTTCCATTAACACTGCACGCGTTCCATTAACACTGCACGCGTTCCATTAACACTGCACGCGTTCCATTAACACGGCGTCCCATTAACACTGCACGTGTTCCATTAACACTGCACGTGTTCCATTAACACTGCACGTGTTCCATTAACACCGCGTTCCATTAACACCGCACCACGTTCCATTAACACTGCATTCCATTAACACTGCACGCGTTCCATTAACACTGCACGCGTTCCATTAACACTGCACGCGTTCCATTAACACTGCACGCGTTCCATTAACACTGCACGCGTTCCATTAACACTGCACGTGTTCCATTAACACTGCACGTGTTCCATTAACACTGCACGTGTTCCATTAACACCGCGTTCCATTAACACCGCACCACGTTCCATTAACACTGCATTCCATTAACACCGCACCGCGTTCCATTAACACCGCACGCGTTCCATTAACACTGCACGCGTTCCATTAACACCGCGTTCCATTAGCACCGCATTCCATTAACACCGCATTCCATTAACACTGCACCACGTTCCATTAACACTGCACGCGTTCCATTAACACCACGTTCCATTAACACGGCGTCCCATTAACACTGCACGCGTTCCATTAACACCGCGTTCCATTAACACGGCGTCCCATTAACACTGCACGTGTTCCATTAACACCGCGTTCCATTAACACTGCACGTGTTCCATTAACACCGCGTTCCATTAACACTGCACGTGTTCCATTAACACTGCACGTGTTCCATTAACACTGCATTCCATTAACACTGCACGCGTTCCATTAACCTGTTCCACTCTGAGCCTGTTTTTCAGGTCTCAGGCTCGAAAATGACATTCCCAGAACAAATGACCATATCTTCCCTTCTAAAAGGGTTAAATTAATAATCTTTTCTCAAAGTAATGATAAACCTGTGAGTTGGATGTAGAAGTGTCAGAATCAATATAAATGTTTTTTATTTTAAAGAAAATTCAGATTTTACATAGTAAAAAACTGTAAATTATAGTGTCCGTCCAAAAATTATTTTTTACAGATAGTGAAAACTACCCTTGGATGATGGGTTAGTAGACTAAAAGCTTTAGGAATCCAAAGTACAACATATAATAAGTACCCTGTATCAAGATTGATGCAAAACAAGTGAAATTTGACCTTTTTAGAGAGATTTAGCCAAAAACTGGGCCATCTGGGGTCATTTGGGTGGATTTGACCTATCTCTGGCCCCCCTTGCTCGATCTGGTTGGTTGACATACCCTTGTGACCGTTAGAGCCAATAGAATCGAAGGAGGAGACTCACATAGACACACATTATAAAGAAAAATGTTGCCGCTTCGCGTGTGGAAAGCGAAACTAAACTGGAGGAATGTCTCCTTCTGGAGTTTGGAAACTAAAACGCAGTTGTATTGCTTATGGATTATCAGAAATAATTTCAAAGAAGGCACAGACACATAGGATGAACCTATGGATTAACTGCAGCATCGTTTTTTTATCGTTTTAATGCCATTGAAGACCACTTTTGACCAAGGTGAGCCATATTTACATGTTTAGCTTCTTGGCTCCACATGTGATGATGTACGCTTTCGTTGATAGCGTCGCGAATGTTTATCACTGAGTGTTGAGGTGGGCACCGTTAGATTCCGTGTCTCCAGGACACCAAAAAATAGTGTTTGGTTGTGCATCTAGGATAAGTAATAAGGGAGTTCTGAGTGAGTTTATGTGCCTTTGTCGGTCCCGTTTTTTCGATCGAGGCTAATTCAGAGGCTGAGTGCTAGCATTGTGGGTTTTTTTTGAAAAAAAAAATTAAAAAGATCAGTTAGCTGAGTTTCTTCCCGTTACATGGATATAACACATTCATAGTTTTATTCAATATTAAGATTCCTTAGACGTTGTTTCCTGCAAATGACGCGTTTATCCGCCCGGTACCGGGGGGAAGGCGTGAAACAGGTTAACACCGCACCACGTTCCATTAACACTGCATTCCATTAACACTGCATTCCATTAACACTGCACGCGTTCCATTAACACTGCACGCGTTCCATTAACACCGCGTTCCATTAACACTGCACGCGTTCCATTAACACTGCACGCGTTCCATTAACACTGCACGCGTTCCATTAACACCGCGTTCCATTAACACCGCACCACGTTCCATTAACACTGCATTCCATTAACACTGCACGCGTTCCATTAACACCGCGTTCCATTAACACTGCACCGCGTTCCATTAACACCGCACGCGTTCCATTAACACCGCACGCGTTCCATTAACACCGCACCGCGTTCCATTAACACTGCACGTGTTCCATTAACACCGCACGCGTTCCATTAACACCGTGTTCCATTAACACCGCACGCGTTCCATTAACACCGCACGCGTTCCATTAACACCGTGTTCCATTAACACCACGTTCCATTAACACCGTGTTCCATTAACACCACGTTCCATTAACACTGCACCGCGTCCCATTAACACTGCACGCGTTCCATTAACACCACGTTCCATTAACACTGCGTTCCATTAACACTGCACGCGTTCCATTAACACCGCGTTCGTTCCATTAACACTGCACGCGTGTTCCATTAACACTGCACGCGTTCCATTAACACCGCGTTCCATTAACACTGCACGCGTTCCATTAACACTGCACGCGTTCCATTAACACCGCGTTCCATTAACACCGCACGCCATTAACACCGCACGCGTTCCATTAACACCGCACGCGTTCCATTAACACCGCACGCGTTCCATTAACACTGCACGCGTGTTCCATTAACACTGCACGCGTGTTCCATTAACACTGCACGCGTGTTCCATTAACACTGCACGCGTTCCATTAACACCGCGTTCCATTAACACCGCGTTCCATTAACACTGCACGCGTTCCATTAACACTGCACGCGTTCCATTAACACCGCGTTCCATTAACACTGCACGCGTTCCATTAACACTGCACGCGTTCCATTAACACCGCGTTCCATTAACACCGCGTTCCATTAACACCGCGTCCCATTAACACTGCACGTGTTCCATTAACACTGCACCGCGTTCCATTAACAATGCGTTCCATTAACAATGCGTTCCATTAGCACCGCACCGCGTTCCACTAACACCGCGTTCCATTAACACCGCGTTCCACTAACACTGCGTTCCATTAACACCGCGTTCCATTAACACTGCACGTGTTCCATTATGACTGCACCGCGTTCCATTAACACCGCACCGCGTTCCATTATGACTGCACCACGTTCCATTAACACCGCACCGCGTTCCATTAACACTGCGTTCCATTAACACTGCGTTACATTAGCACCGCGTTCCATTAACACCGCACCGCGTTCCCTTAACACCGCGTTCCCTTAACACCGCGTTCCCTTAACACTGCGCCACGTTCCATTAACACCGCACCGCGTTCCCTTAACACCGCGTTCCCTTAACACTGCGCCGCGTTCCACTAACACCGCGTTCCACTAACACCGCGTTCCATTAACACTGCACGCGTTCCATTAACACCGCGTTCCATTAACACTGCACGCGTTCCACTAACACCGCGTTCCATTAACACCGCGTTCCACTAACACCGCGTTCCACTAACACCGCGTTCCACTAACACCGCGTTCCATTAACACCGCGTTCCACTAACACCGCGTTCCATTAACACTGCACGCATTCCATTAACACCGCGTTCCACTAACACCGCGTTCCACTAACACCGCGTTCCATTAACACTGCACGCATTCCATTAACACCGCGTTCCATTAACACTGCACGCGTTCCATTAACACCGCATTCCACTAACACCGCGTTCCACTAACACCGCATTCCACTAACACCGCGTTCCACTAACACCGCGTTCCACTAACACCGCGTTCCACTAACACCGCGTTCCACTAACACCGCGTTCCATTAACACTGCACGCGTTCCATTAACACCGCGTTCCACTAACACCACGTTCCACTAACACCGCGTTCCATTAACACTGCGTTCCACTGCTCTGTACTCTGGTCCGTACTGCACAATGCAGTGCTCTTCAGCACTGCATTGTGCAGTACTCACCTGTCGTAGCGGTGGCAGGCAGTGTGCTCTTGGTCTTGCCTTTAGGGGCTGGGGGCAGCAGAGGGTTAGGGTTAGTTCAGTGTGCTCTTGGTCTTGCCTTTAGGGGCTGGGGGTTAGGGTTAGGGTTAGTTCAGTGTGCTCTTGGTCTTGCCTTTAGGGGCTGGGGGCAGCAGAGGGTTAGGGTTAGTTCAGTGTGCTCTTGGTCTTGCCTTTAGGGGCTGGGGGTTAGGGTTAGGGTTAGTTCAGTGTGCTCTTGGTCTTGCCTTTAGGGGCTGGGGGTTAGGGTTAGTTCAGTGTGCTCTTGGTCTTGCCTTTAGGGGCTGGGGGTTAGGGTTAGTTCAGTGTGCTCTTGGTCTTGCCTTTAGGGGCTGGGGGTTAGGGTTAGTTCAGTGTGCTCTTGGTCTTGCCTTTAGGGGCTGGGGGTTAGGGTTAGGGTTAGTTCAGTGTGCTCTTGGTCTTGCCTTTAGGGGCTGGGGGTTAGGGTTAGTTCAGTGTGCTCTTGGTCTTGCCTTTAGGGGCTGGGGGCAGCAGAGCCACTTCTTCTTGAGGCATTTGAGCCACTTTCTGCAGGAAGATCTTCTCCAGAGCCTGAGCCATGAGGACGATGTCGTCTGTGGGCTGAAACACAAAACACACAGCCCAGGGGTAAATAAAGAATAATCACCCGCTGTGTAGATGTAGCAGTAGTGTGTGTACCTTGTTGTAGATGTAGTGTGTGTGTACCTTGTTGTAGATGTAGTGTGTGTGTACCTTGTTGTAGATGTAGTGTGTGTGTGCCTTGTTGTAGATGTAGATGTAGTGTGTGTGTGCCTTGTTGTAGATGTAGATGTAGATGTAGTGTGTGTGTACCTTGTTGTAGATGTAGTGTGTGTGTACCTTGTTGTAGATGTAGTGTGTGTGTACCTTGTTGTAGATGTAGTGTGTGTGTACCTTGTTGTAGATGTAGTGTGTGTGTACCTTGTTGTAGATGTAGTGTGTGTGTACCTTGTTGTAGTTGTAGATGTAGTGTGTGTGTACCTTGTTGTAGATGTAGTGTGTGTGTACCTTGTTGTAGTTGTAGATGTAGTGTGTGTGTACCTTGTTGTAGATGTAGTGTGTGTACCTTGTTGTAGATGTAGTGTGTGTGTACCTTGTTGTAGATGTAGTGTGTGTGTACCTTGTTGTAGATGTAGTGTGTGTGTACCTTGTTGTAGATGTAGCAGTTGGTGAACATGGTGTTGAAGTCCTGCATGGCTTCACTGGCGCTCCAGTAGTAGTTGTTCTCCAGACGTTTCTTGATAGTTCCCATGTCCATCGGGTTCTTGATCACCTTGTGATAGTCCTGGAATATGGAGGGGTTAGCTTAGCTTAGCATAGACACTGGAAACAGGAAAAGAGTTCATACAGCTTCAAAGTGTCATATCTGAATCAGGTCTGGCAATAGTAACGCTCACTCTGGAAACCTTTAAAGAATCCCCAGAGCTGAGCGTCACAGATCAACACGATAAACCTTTGATTGATTGATTGATTGTTTGTGAGGCACTTACAGCCAGGCAGAGTTTGATGGCATCCACCGGCAGGTAGAAGGGCCAGGCGAACTGATGCTTCCACAGCGTCTTCACCACCACATTCTGCATGTACTGCAGCTGGTTGGTCTTCCTGAGGACAAACACACGATCAGATCACACTGTTGGGAGCTGGCTTTATTCAGGGATGCAAACACACGCATCGTGAAACAGCGTAATATACCATCTGACAAAGGCCTGCGCGATAATGCTTCAATGAGCTGGCTATTCTTTATCATATAGTCAGATCAATAGGAGACAGAGATGTTAAGTTATAAATTAAGGGTTTTTATTATTATCTACAGCAGGGGTGGGGAACCTTTTTCCTCTCAAGGGCCATTTTTTCCACAACATTTCGATCTCTCTCCCCCGCCTGTGTGCGAGGGGGCGGGGCAGTTTACACACGCGCAGCTGCTGCATGCAGCAACACACACACAGCTGCTGCATGCAGCAACACACACACACACAGCTGCTGCATGCAGCAACACACACACACACACACAGCTGCTACATGCAGCAACACACACACACACACAGCTGCTACATGCAGCAACACACACACACACACACACAGCTGCTGCATGCAGCAACACACACACACACACAGCTGCTGCATGCAGCAACACACACACACACACAGCTGCTACATGCAGCAACACACACACACACGCAGCTGCTACATGCAGCAACACACACACACACACACACAGCTGCTACATGCAGCAACACACACACACACACACACACAGCTGCTACATGCAGCCACACACACACACACACACAGCTGCTACATGCAGCAACACACACACACACACACAGCTGCTACATGCAGCAACACACACACACAGCTGCTGCATGCAGCAACACACACACACACAGCTGCTACATGCAGCAACACACACACAGCTGCTACATGCAGCAACACACACACAGCTGCTACATGCAGCAACACACACACACAGCTGCTACATGCAGCAACACACACACACACACAGCTGCTACATGCAGCAACACACACACAGCTGCTTCATGCAGCAACACACACACAGCTGCTACATGCAGCAACACACACACAGCTGCTACATGCAGCAACACACACACAGCTGCTACATGCAGCAACACACACACAGCTGCTACATGCAGCAACACACACACACAGCTGCTACATGCAGCAACACACACACAGCTGCTACATGCAGCAACACACACACAGCTGCTACATGCAGCAACACACACACAGCTGCTACATGCAGCAACACACACACAGCTGCTGCATGCAGCAACACACACACACACACAGCTGCTACATGCAGCAACACACACACACAGCTGCTGCATGCAGCAACACACACACAGCTGCTACATGCAGCAACACACACACAGCTGCTGCATGCAGCAACACACACACACACAGCTGCTACATGCAGCAACACACACACACAGCTGCTGCATGCAGCAACACACACACACAGCTGCTGCATGCAGCAACACACACACGGAGGAGATGGCGGAGAGAACGCGCTCCGAGGTGTGGTTAAACTTTACCCGTCTCGCTCGTTACCTAAAGTGCAATAAGAGTTTAGCATGTCAGGGCGGTAACACGAGCAGTTTGTCTAAAGATTTATCAAAAGTGCTCCACATCCAGACGGAGGAATGCACCGACTGTCTCTCTAGCAGCGCTGTAGACCCGTCCACGAGTAACGTATCCACGTCAGGTGTTATGTATGCTAGCAGCAACACACGGAGCTAACTCAATGACACAAACATGGGTTAATGATTAGAGGGAACTGAGTTATTTAGTTTGTTAAAGTTTCAGCTATTCTGTTCACAGTTCTGTCATCACATTATTACCATTTGTTAAAACGTTGTTTCTTTTGATGTGAAATATTATGTATTTAATTTAAAGTGGACCTATCATGCTATATTATAATAATATAGTGTAGGGCCATACCTATATAAGGCATGTTTATACTTTTTTTTCTTCAAAATACCAAACAGATCATGCATTTTAGCCATGCCTCATTTTGCTCAATTTGACATTTTTTAGCTGTTTTAGCAAGGGCAGATTCAGTGAGAACAGCACCACTTACAGGCCTGGCATATGTACTACAGCGTCTCCAGCGCTTTCGAACGGCAATGGCCGTGGCTGTCTCCTCCTGATTGGTGGAGTTGGCCCAATAGCCGTAGCGCCACCGTCCTGACGTCAGGACAGTGTTCAAATCTGGATCAGTTTTTATCAGATCCGTTGCAGCCCCTTTTTTAGAGATTTGGGTATGGAGGAAAATAGAGAGGGTTGTGTTTTCTGACACTTGGTGAGTTCCCTGGAACACCGGGGACACATATTCATGTAGAACAGACGTACAACAGTGCATTTTGCATGATAGGTCCCCTTTAAATGAAAAGCAATGTTAGTTTTGTTCACAATTTGTTTATTTTCATTTTTCATTTAATTGTTTATTTGAATAGGGACAATGCACATTAATGAACACTTTAGACAAATAATGCTTTAAGTGTAAATATGCCGGATTTTATCTTTGAGCTAATTTCCATCCGTAGTCCCTGACATACAACATATAGTTAGTTTACCTCGTTTTTTCTCTCCAAAAGAACCGATAAAAGTACCGTTAAAAGACCGGACCGATAAGCGGTATCGATAAAAGTAGTAGTACCCATATGAAACAGAACTGTTAACAGATTTTCTCTTTTTCTTTATGGATATTTTACAAATCACTCTCCTTTCAAAATCTATTCTTTTTAATAACTTTTTTGTTTACTGTCATATCGTATTTTATACCAGTTTTTCATTAAGTCTCTTATTTTTGTATAACTATAATGATCATATCAAGGTGTGCCTTTTCCTCACTGAGCTGAGGATATCTGAGCCTCTCAGTCTGTCAGGAGAGAGCTCTCTTCCACCTGGTTGTAGAACAAGCTCTTTATATTCGTTAGCATAGCTAGCTAACCAGATGCTAATAACAACAGATCGCCACTTTCAACTGAAGACACAGCCACGCAGAAACTGCGGCATGTTACGGCTCCTTATGGGTACTGACATGTTTGAAGTGATGGAGCACTACACCACGTGATGACACGTTACGCTCGTGTTGTGTTCAAGGAACCTATTCTTGGCCAGGAAAAACAGGCACTAGCTTGTTTAATTATTTTGTGGTCTAGATTTCTTAAAAGATTTTTTGAAGTGAGAACTTGTCCATCAGTCCGTGAGTCGGACCCCCCCCCAAAACGAAAACTCTTCGGTTCTCCACGAATTACAAAAGTCACCCAAATCAGCTTTAAAAAAGCGGGAGGCGCTGAAAAGTGACTCATTTGCATGCACGTTATTAAAGCTGTTTTCATGTTAGATTAGATTTTAAACTTGGGGTTCACAATAAAAAAAGATACATCAGCCGTCTGAAAAAGCTTCTGTTTGACGCTCAACACCATTTCTTCCCTGACGACGTCTACTGGTCCCATTTGATCTTAGAACAGCAACGGCGTTCAGTAAATTAAAGACCTATCTTCTTAATTTGCCTTATCATTTGGGGCAGTTGTTATTTTTGAGTAGTATCACTGTTCATGTTTTATGGTTCAGTGATATCACTCTTTCTGTTTATACCTTGTTTTTAAGGATGTTCCTCATTTGTTATTCTCATTTTCTGTCATACTGAAAGATGCTATATAAATAACGTTTATTATTAATATCACACTGAGCAGAAGTCTGCAGGTGAGCTAGCTAACGCTGACATTATTATATACATCAATCACTTCTGAGTATTGAGCAAATCAAAAGGTCATCATGAAGTCATGTAAGTTCATCCAAAGTCTCATTGCCTTCAGGGCTCTGTATACGACCTGCTATTTAAACAGCTCAGTAACAAAGAGCGGGAATGTTCAGAGCTGGGAGGGAGAGGACTGCAAATATGTTGTTACTGTACTTAAGTACATATTTATGGTATCAGTACTTTACTCCACTACTTATTTTTCTGACCACTTTTTACACTTTGAACACAAATACCTGTACTTTCTACTTCTTACATGTTGAACACAAATACCTGTACTTTCTACTTCTTACATGTTGAACACAAATACCTGTACTTTCTACTTCTTACATGTTGAACACAAATACCTGTACTTTCTACTTCTTACATGTTGAACTCAAATACCTGTACTTTCTACTTCTTACATGTTGAACACAAATACCTGTACTTTCTACTTCTTACATGTTGAACACAAATACCTGTACTTTCTACTTCTTACATGTTGAACCCAAATACCTGTACTTTCTACTTCTTACATGTTGAACACAAATACCTGTACTTTCTACTTCTTACATGTTGAACACAAATACCTGTACTTTCTACTTCTTACATGTTGAACACAAATACCTGTACTTTCTACTTCTTACATTTTGAACACAAATACCTGTACTTTCTACTTCTTACATGTTGAACACAAATACCTGTACTTTCTACTTCTTACATGTTGAACACAAATACCTGTACTTTCTACTTCTTACATTTTGAACACAAATACCTGTACTTTCTACTTCTTACATTTGAACACAAATACCTGTACTTTCTACTTCTTACATGTTGAACACAAATACCTGTACTTTCTACTTCTTACATTTTGAACACAAATACCTGTACTTTCTACTTCTTACATTTTGAACACAAATACCTGTACTTTCTACTTCTTACATGTTGAACACAAATACCTGTACTTTCTACTTCTTACATTTTGAACACAAATACCTGTACTTTCTACTTCTTACATGTTGAACTCAAATACCTGTACTTTCTACTTCTTACATGTTGAACACAAATACCTGTACTTTCTACTTCTTACATGTTGAACTCAAATACCTGTACTTTCTACTTCTTACATGTTGAACTCAAATACCTGTACTTTCTACTTCTTACATGTTGAACCCAAATACCTGTACTTTCTACTTCTTACATTTTGAACCCAAATACCTGTACTTTCTACTTCTTACATGTTGAACACAAATACCTGTACTTTCTACTTCTTACATGTTGAACTCAAATACCTGTACTTTCTACTTCTTACATGTTGAACCCAAATACCTGTACTTTC